AACTGATTATAAAGACGTAGATAAGATTTAGCTATGATAAATTGACAAAAGTATTATTTCATAATATTCCTATCTTGTAATATTCAGTTATGATATATGCCTTGCATCCACAGAAGTCATGTACATAAGATGCGTCTATAATGATATATAGCACTGATGAGATGCATGAAGACTTCATCCAGCGAACACAACAGAAATTGATTAAAATCTGAAAATCAGATGCATTATGAATAAAATTAAAATATTTCTGCCACCGACATTCCCGTATTGCTGCAGGCCATCTAATTCAGCCGAGCACAATCTCATGTCCTCGTATTGGATTTGTGCCCTCATATAGCATTATGAATATCTTTAAGCTCTTTGATGTGCCCCATAATTGACACAAATGTAGTCTAAAATTCAATGCAGGACTGCGTGGAGGCTTCATCAAGTCTTCCATCCGGATGGGTGCTCCAAAACTACCATGGTGAGTCACTCTTTTATAACTTCAATACAAAAGACTTTTAAGCCTCACAAATGCATTTGCCAAACAACAAAAATAGATTTTCTCTGTTCAAAAATACGTAATATGTGTTGCACATCTTAACTGAGGAAGTATTTTAAAATTATTAGAATTATTTTATGGGAAATTTTGCATTTGTGGATGGATTGCCACGGCGGATCAATCGCTTGGGTTTTGATGTAGCAAAAGGATGTCTGATGTGATTCACATCCTTTAGATTCAGAATCTAAAGGAAATCAACAAGCGATTCTCAATGTAGATACAATATCAATTGTCGGACAATTGGGGTGTGAATTTGTAGATATCTTATATAAACAAGAATGGATTGTGGCCAAATCGTTTTATTCATATCTAAATTCATTATGCAATTACTAATATTTTAACATGTTGGACTTTATGCAGAATCAATGAGCAAACTAGTTCTGTGAATGAACTGGTGAAGTAGTTGTTGCACATTTTTTGCAGATTGTTGTGTTAGAGAAACGTGTTTTATATGAGAACATATGTGTGCCATCCGCCACCCTATAAGAAGGAGCAATTATGGCACATTACTGATTATTGAGAATTAAAAAATATTAAATGGTCCAGGTCAACAGGCGATCGAGATGTTGGTTGGTGAGCAAGACAATTTCAACATGGCGTTGTAGCACTTTTCTGGATCGCTTGTGCTAGTCTTGTGCATTCAAGCCGGGTCAAATCGCTAACATGCATCGTTGCTGCTAAGGCAATTGCCTTAACGACTTCTTGCGTCGGTGTGCAGATACCGTCCCCGTCTTCATCCCTTACCAGCCTGCTTCCAAGATGGCGATTCCCCTCCATGTCCGCCCCGATCACGTCATCATTGACGTCCTGCCCTCCGACGATGATACCGATGACAGGCAGTAGGCCACCGAGCTGCTACCCAAATGGGAACTGATCTCCCTCGAGAGTGGGGAACGGTTGCCGTCCCTCCTACCCATCTTGTCTACTTATTCCTCTATCGTATAGCAAGAAGTGGCCGGCAACGCGGTGGCTGGAATAACGCCACACTTTGCAACCGCTGGTAAAAGTGGGTGTCAAACGCGCCGCGGCTGCTGAGCCTGCTCTTACCCTGCTGGCGCTTCGAAGACAGCCTGGTGCTTTGGAGCCACGGACAAGGGGTCCTCCTTGTGGAATACCTCTCCACCTGCCCGCCCTGAACTACTGGTACGGGCAGCCGAGCTTGCGGCAAAGTACGGCAGTGCGGGAGGGAGCGGTCCAAGGTACGCATTGGCCGGGATGCAGAGCGCAAAAGGCAGGATGGAGACGTTAGGTCCTGCAACCCATCTGCGCTTGTCACGTGAGCATACCCTCTGGAGCCGGGCGTGAAAAGAGATGCGCCCTGAAGCATGGAGGAGATCGATGTCCAAACGACCCTTTTCGTCGTCTAGGACTCATCGATCAATGGGCTCGTGAGCACACGGTGGCCAGCTCTCTGAACAAAATTTGGATTCCAGGTGGTGAATTTGGCGCGAATGGCACCGGGGCGAGGGGAAGGGGGTGCGGGAGGGAGGCGACAAGTTGATTAACCGGCTGGAGAGAAGCGCTTCATGTGCAGCTTGTGCTGTTGATGGAGCGTGACAGTCATCGCAGGACAAGTCAGATCACAGCAAGGTGGACCTCGCGCTGGGCACTGCGTGATTGGACGAGTTGTTGGGCCAGTGAATTCGGCATGAATTCATCCCCGCTTTGATGTGAATAACAGTGAAATAATGTGTGGGCCGGCGCGGGGCTGCACAGGTAGGGCGCCTCTAGGTAGAAGACGTGCACCGATGTAGAATGCGCAATGCAGAATGCGCAAATGATGTGGTGTTCAGAGCCACGACAGCTTTTAGAGATGGCCGGACCTGCGCCCACTCAATTTGGCTCTCGGGCGACGATACCATTCGAGCAATGGCGCCAGTGCGACTACTGCCTATTCAGCGCTATAAGCCTGGCATCCGTGTTCTTGGATCACGGGAAGCAATTCACAACTACATCACCGGCAAAATTGAAAACGAACGGTCGGGCAAACGCAAAGAGAATGGACATGCTGGAAGGGGCTGGGCCCAATGATCTTCAGGTACAAGACACCTCGCTGGATCCGATGATCTTTTGCAACCACGGCGCCAGAGAACTTCTGATGAAACAAACGGCAAATGCGCTTTCCCTCCATGCCTGCACGACGGCCATCTAAATGAAGAGGTGAGGTGGTTGTCTCCACAAACTTGGGCGAAGTTGGGTCGCTCAATCCCTCGTTACGACTCGACCTCGTGCAGATGCGTGCCCGGCCTTTGTGGCGCACTGCATCTGTTGCGGCCTATGGGATGAATTCGAGGAACATTCGGCGATGTTGGGCCAGAAGAGACTGTCGTGTGTGGAGGGTGCAACATCGCCAGGATGGCATTATCGACAGTAATTGTGAATGGGTGAGGCCTGAGCCTGGTTTGGCAAACGCTGACGTTTGTACCTGTAGCAGATGACAACGGTGGAAATAATGGCAAAAGAATGATCGGCATCGAATGTACGGGAGGAAGGTTGTGGAGGAAGGTTGTGGGAGGAAGGATGGTCTGTTGCAGCAGCGAGGCGATCATTCGACATTTCCTGTACATTGTTGACCATATTTTATGACCCCTCGTAAGGTTCTGAAATGCCATCGGTGGCCATTTCGCAATTGCCATCAGTGTGGTTGTATCAGACCAGGATTGGCATGCAGTGGACCCTCGCAAGGAGCCATGGCGCCATGGCTCCTCATGCCGGCAAGACAGCCTTGGTGTTTTAATGCCACAACGGCACAAATTGCTCAGAGACAGCATGCCAGTGACTCGGTGCAATTTTCGTGCCATGGCTGTGGCATAATCAAAGTGTGGTAGGTGTGCTCTGTCAGTTTTCGTTAATCTCTTATATCCTGTGGCCACCGAACACGGGAAAGTTCCGCAAGGAAGCACCAAAGAGCGCAACCTCGTGCCCAGGCTTGGTTTTTATGCCGTAAAACTGATCGTATTTATGGTTTTACGCGTAGAAATAGTTTTTATGTGTTTTACATGTACAAATGCGTAAAGTACGTAAATATAACGTAAAAACTACCCGGTGTACATAAGGACAGTACATGCAGACTCACAGAGTTAGGAGAGTGGCAGCCAGACGCCCTGGGAGGGGCGAAAACGGTTTTTGTTCAACACCATCATCTAACTTGCCAAGGGCGAGGTGGGCATCGTGTTGTGGGTGCTGGAGATGGCAGAGGACTGATCATTGTAAGCAACTTTCGTCGTGTAACCTGGGTGTCCCAGAGAGCCGTAAAAACGTAAAAATAGCCGTAAAAATAGGCCCTTTCGCAAATTTACGTTTTTACACGTAAAAACGTAAAAGTAGAAACCTAAACGTAAACATAACAACCAAGCCTGCTCGTGCCAGCGATGTGCATTCAGAACATGCCATTGGCTGCATGGCTTGCTATCTGTCTGTGGTATACTGAGTATACCACTTCATTTTTGTGTGCACTCGCTTGTAGGACACTTTTTTGAGAAGTGTTGCTGTGGCAATATTGTGCTCCGCAGCTGTGGCAAATGCTACAGCTTATGTTGTCGATGATTGCCCAGTCAAGACATGACATGTCCTGACAGAACAGTGAAACAGGGATCCTTCGTAATTGGTAGGAATGTGCTTATCCAGTTATAGAGTGCAACAATATAGTATAGTTTTTGTTGACATGGACCAAGCCCATGTCTGCATGGGCGGCCAGCACTCTTTTGCTATAGGATGCAGCTTCCACATACTTCACACTGTGGGGATTGGACACTCGTTATTTTCATCAATAGCATTGCCACTTAATCTTGCCCCAACCCATTTTCAGAACCTCTGTGCAAAACACAGTTGCAGCATTCACACATTGTGTGTTGCACCTTGCAGGGTTTCTATGGCTATGTAAAAGTCTTGAATTTCTCAGGGTTTTTGAGCTCTTGATGTGTCAATTTTTCCAGGGTCTGTTCATTCTCCCATTCTTGAGTTGTTTCTGACAATCAGTTAGTATCCCATGCACACTTGATGCAAGTAATGGCTGTTTCACAATTTGCTCCCTGACAACCATCGTTTCAGTGTTTACAGCCCACTTTGTCAAGAACACAGTCAAATAGACTTTGTGGGCCTGTTGAATAATTGCAAGCTTCTTTCTTTTCCATCACTGCATGCTGACCATCCTGGCATGCTGGCCACCCTGCCCTGCAACATGCATGTCCACAGATATTCATTCTGCAAAGTTGACCTGGCAATAAAGATTCATGCACTGGAGCTCTTTTAGTAGGCTTTACTCCGCACTTCCATAAATTAATGTTCTCTCCACTTGTTGCCTCGATTCTCCTGTCCCATTTGGATTCAGATCCGCCAAGGAGTTGTTGTATCCTCAGAGCAGCCCTCCCCATGTGCTCAACAATTCCAATTCGAGGATGTCAGTTCCTTGCTGATGTGATAAACTCTCAGGCATTCCAGCATTTCTCACAATGTGTCATGCCAATGATTCCTCATATTTTCGAGCAAGATATGCTTTGTAAACCTGCAGGTTCAATGGATTCCCTGTTGCCTCCTCCAACAGCAAATCTGCAGAGGCAAACAAGGACCCCCAGCTGTGAATGTTCTTCCCCAGCCAATCCAGGAGTGCTTTGAACTGGCCATCCCTGAAATAACCTTTCAGATCCAAAACGTCCCTTTGCGCTGCCTCAAACAATTGAACAGAGTACATAGCCCCCAAGGCGTAAGCTGGAAAATAACCAAAGCACCCATACGACCAGTGCACATCCTGCAAACAGCCCTCATTGTCATCTTTTGGCAAAACTCCTAGGTAATCCTGCATCTTTTCATTCCACACCTTGGGCACCTCATCCGCGTGAATGGTGCCCGCAAAGAGGTCCCGCTCTATTTCGTATCTCAAAATGATATGCAATGGGTATGTGACTTCATCAGCGTTCACACGTATTGGGCTTGGATGCACAGTGTTCAGATATCTGTAGAAATCATCAGCAGTCTTTGTTTGAAGCTCAGGGAAAAATTCCTTTGCCATAGGCCAAAACCAGGTGCAAAATTCGTGGCTCTTTCCCACAAGATACTCCCAAATCAATGCTTGGCTTTCGTGCATACCAGTACTCAGTGGCTTGCTCACAGGTAGCCCTTGGTAGTCCTTGTTGAGTCCCAAGTCATAAAAGGCATGCCCACACTCATGCATCGTTGCTAAAAGTGCCTCTGAGAAGTTGTTACTTGCAATTTTTGTCACCAGGCGAACATCAGAACTGCTCAATGTGTAAGTTGTTGCTGCATGGGCCACATCGAGGCGGCCATTTTCTGGCCAAAATCCAAGAAAGTCAATCAGCTTCCTGCACAGCTGCTCTTGCTGCTCAACATCATAATTGCCAGAGAAATTCGAGACACCAATCTCTCTCCTTTGCCTCCTCTGTTGTGAAATTCCCTTTTCCCCATTGTTGCTCAACAATGCCAGCAGGAATTCCTTTATGTCCCTGAATATCTCCCCCAACCTTTGTGCCGTCATTCCCCTCTCATACTCATCCACCATAACAGTGTATGGATCTGTCCCCGGGGCAACTGTGGCTGCAACCTCCTTGCTGATCTCCACCATCTCCTGCAGGGAAGGGGCAAAGATCATGAAATCGTTTTTCTCCTTTGCCTCCAGCCATTTTTGTGCTGCCTGGTTTGCCCGCTCTATCCTTGCCATTGCCAATTCTTTTGTCAATCTGTTGCCCCTGTCCCATTCAATGTGTGCATCTCTCACAACGGCCCTCTCGAAGTCGTTTAGGCCCTCTAACGACACCTCCATCAGCTCACTGATCAGATCGCCCACTTCCTGTGAGGTCTCCTTTTCATGCACAATGCCCGCCACAGCTGCTAGCTGCTTGCCCCTCGCCTCCCCTCCACCCCTGGGCAAGCAGATGCTCTGGTCCCACTGTAACACCCGCGACACCTCCTTCAGGCGCGAGATCTCCCGCAGGCGATCACACAGTGCCTCATATTTCTTGCGCTTCAGGGCCTTGACCTGCCTTTGCAGCTCTGTGACGGCAGCGGCACTTTCGATTTCCTGCCTTCTTGTTAAAGGGTGTTCACAGTTGTCCATCGAAGCCCTGGCAACACGGGAAAAATCTGAAAGGAATTCGCTCTTGTTGCACTCACATTCACTTGCTTGAAGAACAACCCTGCATCTTGCCACTGCCACATTGACAATTGCTCTGCGATGCACGGCAACCGGCTGCACCCGTGTCAGTGGCATAAACTACACGCACCAGGTATCGATCGACACAACCCCACAGAGAGAACCGCCCATCGTTGAGTGCAAGATCTCCACCCTCCCACCCGCTGCCAACACCAGATCAGCAGCAACACGTACGGAAAGTAATTGTTCAGCTCCCGGGCGGCTGGAACGTTCGGCGAAAGGGCATCAGGACAGTATACCTACAGTCGAGCCCCAGAAGGGCAACACAGGCCGGCGCTGCGCCCTTGAAAAAATTCCTATGACAGTCCCGTCGCGACAACGGCGCCCTGCGCACGGAGCCGCCCCCAGGACAGAAAGCAACGTGACGTTCCAGCGCGGACGGAAAAGGGGTGGGGTGGGGTAGGGTGGGGGGTTTAAGCGCCTTACCTTTGTTGCCGCACGAGGCGCCAAGCCACCCAATGCCCTCGAAGCCACTCCACACACTTTTTCCGTCGTCGCCCAAACGGCAAATAGAGACATCATCGATGCTGGCCGTTTGATGATCCGATATCGGAATATCTTCCTCCTGTTCCATTCTGTTCTGCGATACGCCATGGACATGGCCAAGTCCTCACTTGCTGCCAGCATCAAACGGGGTGATACGTCTACAGTGTCATATTTTGGCTGGGAATGCGGTCATTTCATTTTGTTGGAACTGCTGTTCTCTTTTCAGCAGGTTGGAGTTCAATGGGGCACCAACTCCTGGGAAGACTGCGCTTTCAGCAAAAGCGCTGCGGCACAACTTCAGCGCCATTGAAACCCCAGTACCATCCATCGAGCGGGCGCGCCGTTGCCCATAGTAGTTTGTGACAAACGGTGGGGGCCGCACTTCATTGCCCCCGATTTTCGGCTACATCATATACGCCCCCCAGTTCGTTCCTTGACTCCCCAGTCCTTTCATCTCTTTGTTTTACTCTGTTGTCAAGGCTCAGGGTCCATCACCTGCTGCGAAGGCTGCGATCTTCGCCCGAAAGACAGGTCGATCAAACTGAATTCCCTTGCCGGAATCTTGGCAAGGTCGCCCATTCAGTTTAGTAGCGGTTGCCATCGACCAAGTTGCCATCGACCCTACCCTAACACACGGTGTGTTACACACCAGGGCAACTGCAGGCATGACGACCAGGCTGCACGGCGGCGGCTGCCCGCCAGCCCAGGCACCGGCGAGGCCCTCGAGCGTTCGCGCTCTGCAAAAGTACGGGCGCGATGGCCGCCCGGGATGCGCGTGCGGCGCGACAGCGGCTCCTCAGGTGCGCTTGCGGGGGAGCGATGCCAGTTTTCCGATTCTGGGCACTCTTTGTGGCGTTGCGGAGCTGGGGGGCAGGCAATCTGGTGAAGAAAGGGAGGGGCGGATCGCTGCTTCAGGTGGACACTGGACGCGGATCGGGCTCGGACTGGGACAGGTAGTGCTTGTTTGCATCTTTGGGAACGAGGAAGTCCTCGGTGGGGGGCGGTGCCAGACTGGCTGCAATCGCTGTGCAGCTCGGGAGCCTTTCTGCCGGGCTGATTGGTGCCAATCCGGTGAGGTGAAGCTTGGGAGTGGCTGTTGAGTGCTGGGAATTGAGCTGATTGGACCCGCCGGCAATGGAGCTCAGGGTGTAGGGTGGTCCTTGGCAGCCGATGGCGCCACATTGATTCCAATTGCCGTTGAGATCGCGACATTTTTCGGCCCGGTTCCTGGACGCAGATCCGGTATGATAAAGCATGGGTGTGGATGCTTGAGTGCTGCGGATCGATGTGAGGTTTGGTCCGTCAAGTGACTGGCCATATGGTTGTGTTGGAAGGCAAACGTCATTGTCGGATTGCCTTCCACTTTAGAACCATGGCTCGTGGACGAATACCTGGCGACGAAAAACATAGATATTCAGTCTGTGGCATTTTGGAGGTGGGGGCAAGGAGGAGCAACGGTGGTTTAATTGCTCTTTTTGCATTTCTGCTGTGCATGTGACAAGCCATGACACCACTTCCAACTGCACAGGAATCCAGGGCCCTGTCGGACATCCAGGTGGGCGAGGGTGTGGCTCGGGTCGCAGTGCTTGGAGCCTCCGGGTACACAGGCGCAGAGGTGGTGAGGCTTGGCGCACTGCACCCAAATCTGAAGATCGCTGCCCTCACCGCAGACAGGCAAGCAGGGAAGGTGAGGACCAGGCCACACAGAACTGCAGAACTGTGGTTTATTGCTTTTTCCCCAACACCTTTGTTTGCATTGTTCTTTTTCGGAGTGGGATGAAGTGGCTGGAGGGGAACAGAAAATTTGTGTGTTGTTGTGCTCATGCCATTGCAAGTTTTGGCTCCAGGACTTCACTGTGTATTGTGCCACAAATGCCATAGTTTTTATGCAGTTGTCTCCAACATCAGAGGACACTGCACCACTGTGCCAACGCAGTGACAACAGGTGCTTCATGTGTCCATCTGTTTGCTTGTTAACATATGTAGTGAGTGGGAATGTATTGTCTCTGTATTTGTTTATATATCTATGTAAATACACACAATGTGTGTGACTGGCTCATGCAGCCAGTCAGTCTGTGCAGCCAGCCAATGCCAGGCTGAGCACTATGTCGTGCCACGTTGTGCTCCATCCAACATTTCCTGAGTGTGCAGCAGCAGATTGTCTGCAGCACAGCAAAATGGAATTGCATATTGCATTGCCTTCAAATTGTTTACCGTTGCATTCAAATTCACAATGACAATTCATGCAATGGCCAACACCTAAGCAACACAATCACAGGGAATGTGCCTGCTGAATCCCGTGCCAAAGCTCTCGAACATTGCTTCAATCCAAACATTCAGCTCACAGGCCGGGGCCTAGGGCCTTTGCACACTGGAATGTTGCTGTGACCATGCACAATAACGATCGTACCATTGGTACTTCCCCAACGCGCGTACACTTCACACACTTCTACCGGTAAGCCAGGCACAGGGAACATGCTGGCAAAGATGTTAGCATGGATTGACTACAGGACCTCCACACAATGTTGCTGGAGTCGACCCTGATCATACATCTTTTCCATCCTCTCTTCAATAGATGGAGCACTCACGGATGTTCCCATCACCCAAATATCCTCCATTGATGTAGGATCCCCAACAACACTGCTGTTCTGCCACAGTTGCAAACATGTAAGGGCCGACCTCTCTTTCAGAAATGCACATCTAACTCTTTGTCTACAAGAGCGCACACTGAAGTTGCCAGAATGAATGAACGATTGAATGAATGTATCCTTCGAAACAACGCCAAAATGCGGCACACTGGTCATGTCCAGTGCCTCTGTTGAACTCAAAATTTCAGCCAGTGTTAGCTTTTGTGTGCCCAGCACATGGCTTCACAATACTAGGCAAACACTCCCCAAAGCCCCCGTCATCACTGAAGTTGCCAGATAGTATATGAGTAATGCACAGTGGGGTGCCTTCAGCACTCTGCCAGAGAGTTGCAACGCAAGTCAGAATTTGCACACACACTGATGGAATGTTTTCCTGCGTGCAGGCATTCTCTGATGTCTTCCCTCACCTTGTCACAGCGACTGATGTCCCAGAGCTGGCAAAGATCGACGATGTCGACTTTCACAACATCGATGCAGCTTTTTGCTGCCTGCCACACGCCACCACCCAGAAGATAATAGCTTCCTTGCCCCCATCCATCAGGGTTGTGGACCTGTCTGCTGACTTCAGGCTCAGGGACACAGCAACCTACAAGGAGTGGTGCGGCACCCCTTGTCAAGTTCCAGTTTTCATACTTCAGGGAAGTTCTCTGGATGAAACAAACAAACAAGCACTCACCCCAAAACGGCATGTGCGTGAGACTGGTTACCTTATTTTTGGTGCAGGAGCACTCCCCTGTCAGTTTTACAAATGCTTTCGTTGGGCTCGTGGTTTCCACAAATGCTGCCCTTGCACCCGCAAAGCAGTTGTGCACACTGACGTCCATGCTGTTCTGATAATGTGGCCAGCTGTGCTTCCAAGTGCTGCTGTGCTACGGGACACAGGCATGGCCACATTTGCAAGTCTCTGTCTTAGCTGCAGCCCGATTTGACTGATAGGATCTTTGTGATCTTGCCGTGTGCAGGTATGGGGGCGACCATCAGGCCCCAGAGCTTCAAAAGGAAGCTGTCTATGGCTTGACAGAGATCTTCAGAAGTGCCATACAGAGTGCTCGACTCGTTGCCAACCCGGGCTGCTACCCAACTTCCATCTGCCTGCCGCTGTTTCCCCTCCTGCAGCAGCAGCTTGTGCAGAAGGATGGCATTATAATTGATGCCAAGTCAGGTTGGCGGCCCGCAAACACTGAATAGTTATGCTGTGAGCTCTTTGCCGACTGTTCACTGGAGTATACTGTACGAATACTTCAAGCTGAGCTGAGCAGCATAACATCCTCACAGCGTTGATGGGGCACTGTATCCAACGCAGAGTTTCCACTCTGTGGCAGTCAGTCAGTACACACACGGAAATTCCACCCTTCGGTGCACCATCCGCAGATCAACTGCTGGTGAACATCCACACACTGCTCTTCTTCTTGACTGTTGGTCTAAATGCGTTGATGCGAAAGTGCATCTTGAGAAGTGAGAATGCTACCACCTTTATTTATTTTGTGACCTTACAGCAGAAAATTGTGCCACCCTCCTCATCGCCTGTGAGCTCGTTACCTGAATTTATCATTTGATGCTGGCAAGCTGTGATCGGAATTCAAGACTCTCACCAGCCACAGTGGAACGCACCAAAGTGGGTGGACCTTTCCAATCGGCACGATTCGACGTTTGAGGCCACTGGACAGCGACGGATTTGGTAACAGAAATGGCCAATCAGCGGCTGGGCTGGCTTGTCAATAGGTGTCACTGGAGCAGGGCGTTCTCCTGCAGAGTCCAAGCTGTTTTGTGAAGTCGCCGATGGGATGCATGCGTACGGTGTCTCCAGCCATCGCCATATGCCAGAAATAGAGCAGTGCCTGTCTGATGCTGCAGGTATGGGCTGTTGCGCACCGGCCTGGGACCAGTGCATAGATGGTTATGCGCATGGTGCATGTGCAAAGTGCACAGGCCCGGCACATCAAGTTCTGTTGTGCACATGTTGCAATAACTTGGCAAAACCATCACAAATATTGTGATAGTCGGTAAAGGATTGCTTTTGCAGAATTGGCAGAGAACTGCCCCTATTAGGGGGACTTTGGGATCCACACCAAAGTATGGCACTTGACACTGCTGGGCTTGGATTTGCTCAAAAACAAAGCATAGACACATGTCCCCAGCACCGTTCAACTTGTTAAGAGTTTTGAGCTCTGAACAACAACTGATCAGCATGGCGCCGCCAGAAATGTTGCCAAGAACTGTGCTCCCATGTGAGTGCTGGGTGAAACGCGGTGCTGGACACTGGCCAGTGTTCGCTTTGTGGCTTTATGCCTTTGGGTGATGTGTTTGGGCTGGTGGGTGGGTGGCGAGGGGGGGGTGGAGGGGGAGGGACAGCTGCACACAAGATGGTCGACTAGAGGCATGCGAATTATTAAACAGAGAAACGACCCATTAACTGACGAGGTGTCCAGAGAGGTCATTGCTTTTGCTCCAGCTGCTTGTTCACATCATTAGCTGCCATTTGCTACCATTTGCTACCATTGCTGCCATCGCTGCCACTGTCTCCACCCCTTCTCTTTCATTTCTTTCCTCACTCTTTTCTCATTCTTTTTTGCCTCTTTCCGTGCCGTTTCTCTTTCATGCATGCTGTTCCATGCCACCTCCAGGGTTCCCTGTACGCGTCTCCTTCACGCCCCACCTGGTCCCCATGTCCCGAGGGATGATGTCCACGATCTACGTGCAGATGTCCGAAGGGGTGACCGCCAACACCCTGCGGTCTGCGCTGCAGCACTTCTACGATGCGGAGCCGTTCGTTAAGGTCCTGCCGGCCGGCACATTCCCCCAGACGCGCCACGTCCGGGGTTCCAACCTCAACCTGATCGGCGTTTCAGAAGACAGGCTGAGCGGCCGGGCGATCATCTTGTCCGTCATTGACAACCTGGTGAAGGGCGCGTCCGGGCAAGCCATCCAGAACATGAACCTGGTGCTGGGCGTGGACGAAACGACGGGACTCATGCAGCAGCCGTTGTTCCCTTAGACTGGGTGGGGTGATGGGTTTGAGCGATTAGCGGTGCCTACGTTCCTCTGTTTGAGTTTGCCTTTGAAAGACAAGCCGGGGCCACGTTGAGAGATTGAGGGCTGGATATGCTGGGTTGTCGCCCAGCGACGGTTTGTTGAGGGTGAACCACATATCAACACTGAGGTGCGCACATTCGTACCTTCATTAATACAGGGCTGGGGCGTGAACGTTCCGTGGCTCGTGGGGACCTTTGTCTGCTGTTATGTCTGCCACGAAATGCTGGCCACAGAGATGTGAGCCATACGCTTGCGTTGTGGAGCTCTGCTTCTGCCTTGGGAAGTATCGGCTGGTGTTAACCATCTGCGAACTAACTGCGGACCAAGGCGGAAATGAGACCGTGAGGGTGTCTCTTTGGACAGTGCTAATTGGCCTAGTTGTTCTGTTTCATTGTCATTTAACTAATTTAAAACTCGCTATACTTTGTATCATATTGTATGGTCACTGACGGTTGTACCTGCACTGTCAGCAGGCATGTCGATTCCTGTACATCTCAAGTACAACTCCTGCGACGTCCCGAAACCGTGCATTCAGTGCAGTTTTCGCAAACAAAACGTTGCAGCACGATCACGATTCCATGTCATATTTCACGGCACGACAACAAGGGGCTACGTTGAGCCTTGTTCAGAATCGCATGGCCACTTTGCCAAATGGCCCCAGGCCCACAAGGGCAATCTAGTGTCCCCAAGTTGAGGGTATTTGGCAGGCTACTAAGGGAAGACACCATTTTGATGTTGGTGCGCTCAACGTCAAATTGACGTTAAGCTCAGAACACCCCCACCCCTCGTTACCTTGTGATGCCATATTACCCCACCCCACCCTCCCACCCCTCCTTAGCGTCAATCCTTATTTCGATGCCAGGATGACTCGGCAACATTACCCAACAATGCCATTCAACTTCAAAGCAGTTTTAGGGAAAACATAGCCAACAGTGTAGCGATTGCAGCGATTGAAGAGGACGCCAAAAGCGATGATAGGTGATGAGAGTGGCGAAAAGCCTGAAAATTGATCCATCCTAAGGACTACCTGGATGACTGAAAGCTTGAGGGAGTTTTTGCAACAAGTGATGAGCTATTGCAGCTGATCAACCGCGTTTGTGTGCATCTTCCCACTTTATTCTGATTTTAGCGCAATTATGTAATCTCTTGGCGTCAATGGCTGGCCCCACCACCGCCTCCACCGTCAATTTGACGTTAAGCGTACCAAAATCAAAACGGTGTCATCCGTAAGTAGCAATAATGTCCAGCGAACAAGCACAGAAATGACTAGCTGACAAATGGCTCTAATGAGGCGCCTCTTTGGGGACCACATTGTTGAATAGGGCACCAGCGTCACCTACCTTGTGGATTGTATGCACACCTATATTCGTGCTTCCCACGTACATATTCATCGGTCGTCTGTTGCCAACTTCGCAAGCAAATTTTATGCCAGTACGCCGCCCTCTCTCAGCATTGAGGATCGCTGCACAGTGAATTGGGCGGCTCTCAGAGAACACTCCAATCGCAATCGTGGCAGGGACGCTGCTGTTCATTCCCGTTCCGAGCCTGAATTCTGCCCAAACGTCCCCATCAGCTTTTGCTCCGGCTGGTGCGAACCCACTGTGGCAAAAACGCGCCAGCTTGCTGATGCATGAGTGTTGCTCAACGACAAACACTTCGACTGAAGCGCGTGATTCACAAATTGCAACGCACAACAGCTTCATCACCTTTGCTGGAGAGAGCAGCTAGACAGCGTATCACGCCGAGTTTGAGTATGCCCAGGATGGGGAAGTGGAAAACTGGACACCGCCTGAAGCCGGCCCAATCCGGCTGCTCAACTGGCACAATATTACAGAAACCAACGCTGCGCACACCTCGAACCATGCCCAGCCCGTGCCGCCGCTACCTGCGCGCTGTGCCTCCTGGCACGTCGCTGTCTGAGTCGCTCAGGACCGACAAACTCCAGTGTTCCAACACACTGGACCCCCTCCTGTGGAAGACCAAATTAGTATTGAGGGGCGGCAGCCTGAGGGGGGGTCGGCTGTGCTCGCCACCATACTTCTCCCTCAGGCCCCTGGCTTCCGGTTCCTGCACCAGCCGTCTCCTCCTCTTCCTCCTCCGTCTTCTTTTTGGCCTCTTCGACGCTTCCCCGGGGTGTCGATTCTCAGAGTCGTCGCCAGTCTCCTCCCCCTCCAGGCTGCCTGAAGTCGTCTCCGGGGAGCCGTCTTCGCTGGACGTCGTTCCCTCGTAGGTTCCATTGCTGGAAGTCGATTCTTCGGAACCTCCTTCACCAGAGGTGGTCTCTTCCGATCTTTCTTCCCCGGATGTCGTCGTTTCATCGCCCTCGCCGCTGGAGGATGTTAGCTCTGTCGCCTCGGAACCCGTCTTCTGTGCCTCGTCCTCCTCGGTGCTTGAGCGCGACGAAGCTGCCTCCAAGCCCTCGGATATCGTCGTCTCCAGGCTCCCAGACTGAGTAGCCCTCAGGCTCCCAGATTTCCTCGGCTTCAATTTTCCAGATTTCGTCGCCTCTAAACCTTCTGACTGAGTAGACCTCAGGCTCCCAGATTTCCTCGATTTCGTTTTCCGAGATTTCGCTGCTTCTAAGCTTTCGGACTCGGTGGCCCTAAAACTCCCAGACTTCCTCGACTTCGACCTCCCAGATTTGGACGCCCTCAAATTCCCGGACTCCGTCGTCCTCAAGCTTCCAGACGTCGTCGCCTCCAGGCCCCCAGACGACGACTCCTCGACCTCATCGAACAACGACGCTGGACTCTCAGAGTTCGTCGTCAGCATGCTCCCTGATCTCCTCCCCGTAAGTCCCCCAGGGCGCAGAAGTCGTCGCCCCTCCCCCGCCCCATCCGCCTCCTCGCTCACGGACTGCACTGGGCTCAGGGACTTGTCCAAACTGTTTGTCCGCGGCTCTCCTTCCACAGAGTCGCCTTCCTGCGAACCCTCTCCCTCAGCTTCCCTCTGTGCAGCCTGCGCGGCCTGCACGGCCTCCTGCAGGGCTGCGAGTTTGCTCAATCTGGGGGGCAAGGCCAGCCTGCATTCGCTGCCCTGAAACCTAATGCAGTAAATCATGCCCTGCCCGGCCTGCATGCACTCCCCCTTCCCCTTCTTGACCCCGCTCTCGAATCCCCTGCAAAGCAGCTTGTCCGATTCCACGGAGACGATGGAGTGCACGCCGGTCACTCCCTTGAAGCGATACATGCCCCGGTCCACCACCTGTATGCCCCCGCACCAGACCCAGTGCCCGAGAGACATCCTGGACTTGAAGCTGAAGCTGCTCATGAACGTGTGCCTCTCCACGGATGTCGACCCCTTGGACTTCTGGACGCTCGTGGCTCGGTCGCTGCTCTGCTTCCGCTTCAGTGCCTTCGGTTTGGCCTCCCTGCCAGGCCGGGGCGTGTTGAGCTCCTCCACCATCTGCCCAAACCTGTCGGGCCTGTTGGAATCCCCCCGGAGAGTCAAGCTGTCCTTCATGCCCTTCAGCCAGCCCTTTGTCGACTTTGTGAACTTAACCTGGCGAGGAGACTCGGGCTGAAGGCGGGACTCTGCCGTCGGGCTCTCCTCGTCGTCACCCGGGCCGTCCATCCCCAAGTCGCCCTCGAGGCCTTCGCCCACGGGCAGGGCATCCAGGATGTGGGATGTGTCCAACATCGGGGCCAGGCCGTTGTTCATGGAGTGGCGAGACGCTCGCTTCCTCCCCTCCTTCGCGTAGGACACAACCTTGTTCCACTGCTTGGGATTGTACACGGCGCCCAGGATCGTCGCCACGCCGCACAGAGGCTTGGGCGCGTTTGCCACGTCCGTCTGTAGCCACTTGGCCACCAGCCCGTCCACCAGCTCCCTCGCCACGATGACCTGCCCCCCCTGGGCCGCAGCAAAGCAATACCTGGCCGCTCGGTTCACCAGCTGACCGAAGTAGTCCGCCCGGCCGGTGCTGCTGTGCGGCACGACCCGCACGGGCTGCCCCTCGTAGATCCCCATCTTGATCCTGGGGCCGCAGAAAACTGGCTGGCCCTCGTCATCGAGCACCTCCCCCGCATACGGCAGCCGCAGAACCCTATCCGTCCACGGGATCTCCACCATGACCTCCTGCACCAGCAGGCACCACTCGATCGCGCTCTCCGCCGTCGCAAAGGCGATCATGTAGTTCCCGACTTGCTCCTGGCACTCGTACCCATCCATGGCCACCAGCGTGCGGCGGATGCAGTCATTGTACACCGAGAGGACCTGTGAGGCAGCCATGCCGTCGGCGGCCACCATGTCCATGTACTTCTCCAGCCCGCAGAACACGAGGGTGACTGGGGGCGCCGCGACGCGCTCAGCCTGCCGCAGAGGCACCACCTTGGCGGCGGGTGCCTCGAAGTAGCCCGGCGTCAGCTGCTCCTCTGATTCCAGGGCGGGGAAGAACCTTCCCCTTTCCTCCATGCCGGGGATCAGGGCCTGTGCCAGACAAACTTTGGTCCTTGCGCACTTTGTGCTTCGAAGTGTCCAATGGTGTTCTATTCTGAAAACGGAAAGCTTTGGCTGCTGACAAAACATCAGGCTTGTGTGCCAGGTTGCTGATCTAAGGTGTTCAAGGGTGGTCAAAAGCATATGGGGGTTTTCTCAAAGGGTGGAAGTCAAAGGCGTCAAAAGCGTGTTGGGCTGTTTCAACCTGCCTGCATCAACTTTCACAGCACTGAACAGCTCTCTACCAGTCCGCCCAAAGGGGAGGGGAAGGAGGGGCCCAACTGTGTCCCCTCCTTTTCTCAAGACAGTGGACGAGGCAGGAGCCACCAGATCACAGTGATCCACAAGATCAAAGTGATCCAGCACAAGGCAGCGATCCAGCAGATCACAGACCTCAGATCACGGCACACAAAAAGAGCCAGCACAAAGTCCCCTGAGCGGCGCACAGCCAGCACACCTGCACCAGGTTGTTGGGGTCCGCAATGTCCTTCAGCCTGTGGATGCCCATGTCGATCACCATGATCGGCCCGCTCTCCGGGCCCTTGCTCCCCATGTAGCCCCCGCCCTCCCCCTCCGCCGCCTCCCCCTCCTCGCCCGCCGCCTGGGCCCCAACCACGATCTCCTTGGGCCCGCTCCATCCCCCCTTTCCACCGCCCCCAATCGATTGCCCAAACCGCGCATTACCGCCCTCCGCCGCGTCATCCTCCCTCTCCCCCCCGCCCCCCCTGCAGCACATGCACCTCAAAATTTTTGCCAGGGCAGATCCCATGCCCCCCGGGGGGCCCCCAAAGTGCTTGGCGTGGAAGGCCTGGCCAAGCTCCTCCAGCCGGCTATTGATGAACCCGAAGCTCTCCTCGTCCATCACGATCTGCCCCCCATGCGGCGTCTCCGAGACCGCCTGCGCACGCCGCATCACCTCCCCCACGTACTCCGTCCGCCTTGTCACCTTGTGTATCTTCACGCTCTCCGGCTTGCCCGTCGCGATCCCCATTCTCACCCTCAGACCCCGGAAGACGACCCCCAGGGTTACAAGCCCCTCGATCAAGCTCCTCTCTCCCACAAGCCCACCCAGGCATCGCGTGACCTTGTCGCTGAGATCCGCCAACTCGCCCTCACCCGCCAACGCCCCTCTGCCCATCTGCAGGATCCCCGCCGTCTCCACGGCTGCGCGCTTGTGCCCGTACAGCTGCGGCGGCCACTCCGCGCCCACCAGCGCCTGCTGCACGGACAGGCACCACGCCACCGCGTCGAAGGGCTCGTGGAAGGCCAGCAGGAACGCGTCCCCCTCCGTGGTGATCTCGTACCCGTAGTGCTCCGACAGCTGGATCCTGATCAGGCGGTCGTGCAGGTCGATCGCCAGCGCCATGACCTCCGTCTCCCACTCCCACAGCTCCGTCGACCCCTCCACGTCGGTGAGAACCAGGGATATCTCGTCGTCCGCAGTGGGCGGTCCCCTGCGCTTCTTCAGGGTCAACCGCAGCCGGGCCAATGCCACCCTGTACCTAAACCACGTGAACAGGCCCAGGGGCACCAGGACGGCCACCAGCAGCAGAGGCGCCACGATGAACGCCAGCTGGAGCCGGGCCCCGCCACCCGTGTCCGGGACGCAGGTCAGCTCGCGCATCACCCCGTCGTCGACCAGCTCCCTTCGCAAGGTGTTGTCCGCGCAGACGCACAGGTCGAATCCGAAGTACTCCGGACTGACCAGCAATTTTTTGGCCGGCTGGTTGCCCTCCGGGAGGGCCGACGGCGTCAGCCTGTAGCAGTTCATGTCCCGCGACATCCCGGCCCTGTCCAGCTGCGGGTACAGGCCCAGCGTGTCGAACGTCCAGGCCTCCGGCAGTTTCTCCCCGCGGGAGTTCAACACCGGGTGTCTCATTCCCGCGTTGCCCGTCACGTCCAGGAACGCCAACTCAGCGGCGGCCGACAGGGAGTCCGGCAAGCCGCCGGTCAGCCGATTGTTCGAAAGATCCAAAAACTGCAGGGCTTCGAGGGCGCCGACTGAATCCGGGACAGTCCCGGTCAGGCGGTTGTTGTGCAGGTCCAGGCGCGTCACGACGCTCCATTGCGAGAAGTTGGAGGGCAGGGGGCCGGAGAGCTGGTTGTTGTCGAGGTCGAGCGTCTGCAGGAAGGGCGAGGTGGCCAGGCTGCCGGGCACGGTGCCGTTGTAGGCGTTGTTGCTCAGGTCGATGTTGGCCACGGGGATGATGGCGATCGCGGGGTCGATGGGCCCGCCGAAGTTGTTGTCCCTGGGAGCGGAAAGCAGCTGCTGGTGCGTGAGGAAGGCGCAAGGAAGTGGAGAAGAAGGCGCTGACGCGGGTATGCAGGGTCGCGGGTGGCGGACCCCGACTGGGGACCGTGGGCGTGAGCGCAACGGTCTACAGCGGAGCAAAGGGAGGACAGGAATTCTGTCCCTTGTATCCGGTCCGTTCATCAGTACCCTTGGTTCAGTTCCTATTGTCTCATCACCTCTTTAAGCATCCAGCCGTCTGGATGGCGCCATTAATGATACTCGTTCAGTTCTGGGTACAACAGCACTATGTGGGCATGGCGGTGGCTCCAACGTGATCCAATAAGACGCAGAGTGTCGTAGCGTAACGTAGCGTGACATGGCGTTGAATTCGCTGCATCAAGAGCCCGTTTCCCGACGCAGTCCAATGATGGGGCCTGTGCACAAGAAATGCTATGCAACGTGCTGCAAGCTCTTCGGGCGCTTCTATGCTGGTGCTCAGGCCACGCTGGTAGTGAGAGACCAGGCGAGTTTCAGCAAAGGAGATGACGACGTCGGGCAATCCAACCAAAAGGTGGTGCTGAACTTTGAAATGTAATACAACACACATTTCAGCACAATATATGTTCAAAATCTATTCAACATACGTTTCAACACAAGTATCAAAATTTTGTAAAACGTATGAAGCATCATGCGGAAAAGATAATTGCAGAAGCAGATTCATGGCATTAAATGGATGACACTGCAGTCAACGTGAAAACGACATACCCGCCAATGTGCCGCAACTTTGCTGATTAAATTTGCCGGTGCTGAGCTCAAGGAAAGGCGGGAAGAAAGTAGCCGGACAGGGTCACCCAGCAGTCAGCCAACTAGCTGCGGACCGTTGCGATCTCACAACGGCGATCAAGCCCCCCGCAGTTCATGACAGGGAATACATGGACTTTGAGGCCCCACCCATAATCGCAAAAATGCTCAAGGTAAATTATGCATGACCTACATTGCATATCGCAAGCGCAGATGCACACAGATGAAAAGAGATCAAAGAGGGAATAAAAAAGGCGACAAAATAAACAAAAAAAAAGAAAAACAGAATGATAGAAACGAAGGGAGCGAGGAAGCAAGTTCGCGCGCATGACACTTGGGCATGCGAAGCTGCGGCATCGGAGGTGTCCCGAACAAATGTAAACGGCCTTTCAAGGCCCTAAAACTCTTTCAGGGCGAAGGTGTATAAGTAGGTATATCAGGAACTGGCAATAATTTCGATAAGCAGTAAGATGCATTAGTTGTACAAGCAAGTATTGTAAAGCATTGAGGCTCATAGCCGATTTCCCAGGAGAGCCACCTGAGAATGAGGTCGTGCATGAAGTAATCGGTGAGGAGGTAGGGGATCTCGATGTCCACCAGGGCAGTGCGGCCGTCCGGTGTGGGTGTGGATGACAGGAGGTTGTCTTCCTGTCCCAGAACGTGAAACACCCAATGTTCTTCAACTTTTATGTAGAATTTTAGAGATATTTGCATTCGAGCATATCATTTGCTCGTGAGCAGATGTTGTGTCCTGGCGCAATGTAAACAATGCGCGACGAGTGCCACAAACATTGGCGTGTGAGCGCGTAGTGGCCATGCAGGTGCTGCAGGATATTTCAGGAACTGAACTATCCAACAGAATATTTGGTGAATGTGACAGTTGTCACACCTTCCACGCGCAGCAAAACGCGGCCAATTAAGGCATCAACCAAGCAAGAGACCAAAGAAAAAATTTCTCCAAAAAACATTGACAAGAATAGCAAAAAGAGGAACATGCATTTGTAGAGTAACAAATGAAAGTGAATAAATTCTTCGGTGCTCCTCATAAACCGCAATCCCTGACCTAAACAAAAATCGTATCTTAAACAAGATCTGTATCATAACGTAAATACTAGTCTTACCTGTAAAACCTAATACGTTTTTACGTTCAAATTAGTGGTTACGTTTATGCACGTGCAAATGCGGAAAAATACGGCGCCAACGCGCCGCAAATACGCAAATATGTCCACTTCTGTTTTCTTACGTTTCCACGTGTAAAACCGTAAATCTGAAATGTAAATGGTAACGCAGATAACGAGACGGCGAACTACTGAATGACGGCACGCACCAGGTTCACGGTCTGCAGCGTGTTGATGGTGAACACGCCGATGGGAAGGGAGCCCGTCAGCCGGTTGTGCCCCATCTCCAGCCACGTCAGCTTGGTCATGGTCACCACCTCGGGCACCGCGCCCGTCAGCCTATTCAGGTTCAAATTCAGCGCGACGAGCTCCGTCAGCCGGCCGAGGTCGGGCGGTATGGGCCCCGTGAGCGCGTTGCCGTGCAGCGACAGCTCCCTCAGGTTCTCCAGCTGCACGACATCCGGCGGTATCGGTCCCCCCAGCTCGTTCCCGTGCAGGTCCAAGTACTGCAGGCTGTCCCCGAGCGCAGGAAACACACCCTCCGGTATGGTCCCCGTCAGGTTGTTCCCCGCCAGCACTAGCGCCGCCACGCCGCGCCTCACCGGACAGTACTGACCGAAAGAGGTGCCCGAGTTGCCGAAGGTGACGGAAAAGCCGTCCAGGGTGCCGTACTTGACGAGCAGCGTGTGGGACTCCGTGCAGCAGTGCACGCCGTACCAGGAGCACACGGGCGTGCCGTCGGGCTCCGTCCAGCCGCCGCTCTGGGCCCAGTGCTGTCCCCCCAGGGCGGTGAACAGGTCCAGGAGGGCAGTCTTTTGAGAGCTCTGGCAGGTCGAGCCGCACAATTCGTCCGGCCCAGTGAAGCCCTCGCCGGTGTTGTTGAAGAGGGGCCCGGTGCCCAGGTCGAAGAACAGGGCCCCCCAGGCAGGGGAAGCTGCCAGCGCCAGCCACAGGAGAGCGCATTCCGCCGGGAAGCCGGCCCGAAGGCGCGGCCGCGGAAGCCTCCCCCCGCCCCGGGCGGGGGAAGCTTCCCCGGCGCACCGCATTGGCGGGAGGTCACATCGTGGCGTTGACTCGCGGGCCGGGGGTTGACTGACGCCGTTGACTGGAGGCGGCGCGCGATTCCGAAAGCTCGAATTGCAGAGGTTTGAAATTGGGAGGGGATGTGGGGAGAGGGGATCTCCGGCATGGCGCGAGGATCCGGGGAGGGTCCTGGAGGCGGAGGCGCCCGGCCGAGCCACAGCCAGTATGTTGAGAATTTTTAGCGCTGCCAAACTGCCCAACTGCCACTGGTACTTCAAGTCTTATGTGCGAAGTGGGTAACGCCGCCGAACTGGCGATCTGCCACCAGTACTTTGAGTCATTTGCGCGAAATGGGTAACGCCGCCAAACTGCCGATTCGTGACACGGGGTCTTCGAATACAGTGCTCCGTGCCCAGTTTGGCTGAAAGGATGGGCCAAAAGTGGTCTCATAACACTAGCACTTTGCAGTACTTAACTGCGCTGACTTTTCCTGAAAGGCCGGGCGGTCGTCTGTCACAAATGAATGGGGAACCGATGGTTAAGCCCTCGTCTCGATATGTAGATTTCTTGACGACAATCTGAAAATCAGCGCGAAATGCAGATGATGCATGGGAAATTCATGGCCTCACCAAACAGGAAATTTCGTGGCCTAAAATGGCGATTTTCCAGCGAGGGACTCGTGCGCATCCGCGCCAAAAGACGCCGCGTGCTGTCCAGGGCGCTTGGAGTGACGCAACGCCACTGTGGCCAACGGAGGTGCGGTTTGAGGATGCTTTCTGGGTGCTCAGCAGTCACTCGGTGGAGTCGCAGACTGATGCAAATCTGGCCACCTTGGGAGCCAGCCGGAGCTCTACTTTTCTGCAGCTCCACAAATTCGTTCAAACACCGTTGCGCTTTCTACTCTGCTCCGCACAAAGGGCCCATGATCGCGTCACGATACACAGCGGTTCATTGCAACACGCCATGTGGAACTGCCCTCGAACAGCATGACGTCAGCCTGGTCGGCATTTTCCTCCCCACTGTGATGCGACAGCTCGGTGCGTACTCGTGTGCCCAGACCACACGATTGGTCACTAATGCGATCGCAGGTTAGGCTGTATGCACATATCCTGGACAGGGGCCATATCTTGGATGTTCTAGGATGCCATGCTTGGCCGTGTTCCGTACATGGGCGCCATGGCAAGAACATGGACTCGCGCGTACCTGCACTCGTATTCCTGCCCAAAGTACTGGAGCGACGCTGCGTCCGCCTGGAAGGCCGTTTCCCCACCAGCTCAAGTGCCTGCTCGGTCCCTTACATCGGTTCAGGCCGCACATCGTTAGAGCCTGATGCGATCCAGAACTAGGACCTAGAGCATCCACCTAGCGAGACGCAGCTGACCGTCCACCGCGCCCACCATGGATCCCGCCGCGTCCTAATATCACGCAACCCTAACATCTGATTATTAGGATTCTAAAATCTTCTGCGCATTCGCCGCGTTTCAACATTCCAGGGGATCCCACCCCTCCTGGCGCACCTCCCAACTCGACCAATAATTGATGTAAATGAATAGAAATCCCCCGCCAAATCTTGCCCATGGGATGCCATGCTGAAATCCTTTGCTTAAAATCGCCTCCGAAAGACAAAGGACATTCCCTTCCCTGCGCGATGCCATGCCCTGGTTGCAGTGATGGCGTGGAAGTCAACTCGCAATGCCAAGCCTGCCCCGTCCCACAGCCCCTCCCTTCTGCACTGCTGCAATGCGCTACATCAGAGCTGCCACACAGCCTACCCAACTCCCACATTCTGCCCACATGCCACCTGCCTTCCACCCAAAGCCCCGCTTCGCACACCCAGCACCTGCCCTGCCTGTCCATTTGCCCATCTTCCACCCATCTGCTTGATCACACACCTACATCTTGCCTCCCATCCCCAAATGCACATCAACTTAATCACAGCCCTTCCCATGACACACCTGCCTTCCAGCCCCAGGCCCCCCACACACATGCCAGCCGGCCAAAATTCAACCACACTGGGCCCTGAAAATTTCCCGTTCTAATTTACAAGAGTCCAAGGGCCCTCCACAGCTACCCTCTTGGGCCCATCCAGCCATCTTGGCGATGTGAACCCTCGCGTGCTTGCTCGTGCATATCCTCACCATAGCAATGGAAGGCTGGCACTTTGACATTCATATCGATCTCATATGGCACTCAATATCAAACGGGGCCATCCTGCAAGAGCCCTTCTGCACCGTTGTGCGTACAACCCGCCATGCACGTCACACGTGAAACCCCTTTAAAACAAACGTTGGATGCCCGGTGGCCCACTGAGGGCGCAAGGGGTGCAATCAGGTGGCGGTGCAATGGCTGCGAGTGCCGGAACAAATTTCAGTGCACCCGCCAGGCAGGCTGTGCCTGTGCGGTGATCTCGTTCTGGCCTTGAGTGTCTCCTCTTCCTACATTATGGAACAACAGGCGCACAGCGAGCACCTCGGCTGCCCAGGGTTCTCCATCTCCCATGATCGTTCCTGCAATTGATTCACACACATGCATTGGTCAGAACGACGCCAGATCACCAGTGTCAAGAACACATCCGAGGGCTGACTGCCCATGAGGACACCATACGGATTAACCCGCTGCCCAGTGTCCATGCCACAATAGCTTTGGCCCCCGAAGCATTGCAAATCAAGAACTAACCACGAATCATCACAATCCTCACTATTATTCCTATGCATACTGCCTTTTGCATGGTGCTTGGCCCAGCCCCTCTTGGCCTGTCTCCTTGCTCTTTTGTTGCGTGACAAACAGAGCGCAAGGCACACATATGACCATCAAAATCGACACAGCAAAGGCAAGCAGAGTGTATGCCTGCAAGGATATTGAACCCCAGTGCACTCTATACAGGCCCCTGCGCCAACCTGCGCCGTGAGCAGAAGCTCCATGCCTTCTTCCAACACTTCCACGCGGCCAATCAGGGAGCGGGGAGGCGCTGACGAAAGGTACTTCAGCTGCTCCTTCTCATCCACCTTCATGACCTCACGCAGACGTGACACGTGCTCTGGCAGCCCAGCCTCCAGAGAACGGATGCGAGCTGGTGAAAGAGAGGCAACCAGCGATCAGTGCAAAGTAATGCTGAACAGAAAAGTATTGGGATGCAAGATACGAAACTGCTCTTAGGGTGCACTGGTCCCATACTCATCGCCCTGTGAGTGTCCAGAAGGGAAATGATCTGTTGCATGCACTGCAGTCCACTGTGTGTCCAACGGGTGCAATAATGATGCCATACTCTACATTCCAAGCATTTAGTACTTTGAAGTAATTATCAGTCAGCAGCATGCATAACAAATTAACTGAGGGCATACTATGTCAATCAAATGCAGGGTTCTAACACGATGCTGCACACACATGTTCTGGTAATGTCCATCAATGCGCCAGTGGACTGAACCAAAGATTGAAATTCAGTCTAATGGAAGTTGCAATGGCAGCACTGTGCTATTACGACTATGCAAATTAAACGATGGGGAGCCGAAAACAAAAAGCAAAGAAATGCAGAAAGCAGCAACAGCAGCTGGACAACAAAGACAGCGAACAAGTCAGTTCAAGCAAAGGATTTGCACACACCTGCAAGAGATGCCGCACGGCGAGGCGTCCCGCCAGCAGACAATGCTGGTTCTGACACTGCAGGGGGGTCCACAGGGCCGACAGCGGCATTCCCATCCTCATCGGCAATATCATCGATGACCCGATCCTCGGCATCCTCAAAAACTGCACATAGATCAGACCATGATCACCACCCTGGACACAGCAACATTCAGTTCATGCCGTAACTTCTGATCTGCTGGGGACTGGCCAGAGTGTTGATCATCTCCTTTTCTTGCCATAAGGATCCTCTGTCTCGCTGCTAATGTTGCTGTTCTCCACCTGTTGAGTTCTCCCCTTCGCTCTACCATACTGTTCTTTGCAGTGTTTGCTTCTCTCAAGACTTCATTGCGTTTGTGGAACAGGAACCCTGGGGATTTTGTACATGTTGCTTTTTCACATGCACCCCATCATCTGTTCAGCAAGGGGAAGTCTACCCTTTCATCCTGTGAACCTGACATGCTGCTCTTTTTATCAATGTCTCGTTGATCGTTGCTGCTACTGGGCCTGGATGTGCCACAGTATACACATCAGCATATTGAGCACATACAGCATATTCAGCATCATCTTTGCGCCTACACTTTTACACTTGCATTCGACATGCACACAACTTGACCCACCTGTGGCACTGGACAGTGTACTGGACTGCCTGGTGGGAGTCCATTCATCCCGTCGCAGCGACCTGGCTGATGCATCCCCCTCCATGAGAGCCAGCCTCTCCACTTCTACCTCCTTCACCAGCTCTGGCGAGCGCCAGGGGCCCACGTCGTCAATAAGCGTGCCCTTGGACTTGCCGCCCAGGTACTCAGGAATGTCCTCATCATTGATCCACTTGCGCAGGCTGGGCAGGAAATCTCTGGGGCAGACCTGGGGGATCAAATGCATCTAAGATGTACGAACAACGAAGGCCAAAACCAGTTACATGGTGTTCATCACCTGGTAAAACCTTTAAACTCCAATCCAAATCTGCAAACACTGACAAGCATTCCATCAATTGGCAAACATCCAAAAGATGAGATGAACACAGCAGTCAATAATGCATTGTCCAGTGCCAAGTCATCAACTTTGCAGACAAGTTGCAGAAGCTGGTGATGCAATCAGCTGCCCGCATGATTTTAGAAGCGAACACCAAAGAGATTGTTTCTCCTTGTACTTGCTTTTTCTATATTTTGTTTCATCCTTTTCCATTTTTGAGGTATATTCCATCATTTTCCTGTTACCAGCAGCAAGTTAACCCTACCTTGGTATTTCCTCAATTGAGATCGGGACTGCATTGTGGCATTCACTTTACACCAAGTTGAGCACTTCTTACACAATGTGCACAAGGTGTAGAAATGCCCATGTACACGCTCAATCAATGCAGCATCGACACATTCTGCTCCGAACTGAACCAAAGTCCTCTTGGTTCTTTTCCATATTCAACATATTACATCGCATTTGAGGAATAGCACCTGGGCTCTTCAAAGTGATGCTTGCTTTGGAATCAAAGAAAATTCTATGAACACACCTGACCCCTTGCATAACCAATCCTCACATTCAATACTTGAAACAAAAGTAATATCAATTGAGCAAACAAGCCGTTTGGGCACAGTGGGATCTTGAGAACACCCATTGGCAGCGTTTTCTGTAGTTGTGCACAATGGCCACCTAATAGGTGCATAGCATAGGTACATACTAAATACACTTTTGACACAAAGTGGCATAGGGCTCAGTGCTTTGTGATACTTTCTTGCACCACTTTCCCATAACAGTGTTCATCCTTGACAATCTGCAAGCTGTGGTTTGCCATGTACTTTGACAGATGTGGCAATTGAGCAATGCAGTGTGCTTCACAGCACTGCACCCACCTCGATCTTCCCTTGTGTGCGCTTGTTCAGCATGGGCTTCACGATGGCCCATATGGCCCTAAAAGTGGTGGGTGCGTTGATTATGCACGTGTGGTACAACGTTTCAGGATAGTTGTCTGAGTCCACTTTTGTCAGCCTCGCAAGCACGCTTCGAACCTCCTTAGTCATGTGGTAGAAGCCAACACCTGGTGCAGGTGAACAAGGGCGAAAGTGGCGGAATGAAATGAGCAAGTAAGCAACACACAAGAGGCACATAGAAACACATAAACACACAAACACCAAAAAAACAAAAGGAACATCAAAACAAACATACACGCAGCAATGCTCATTCTAAGTGCATGCGTGGCCCACATTGCATAGTTTTAAGCATTCAAAGCCTTCTTTTGCCAACTGGCAAAAATGCGTGGGCATGCACTGAAAGCACAGCACCGAGTCGTTGGTTCCCAATTGTGCACCTGGGGCAGCGCTTGTCTGCTGCACCAGCACCTTTGCAGGATTGAAGTACTGCAATCAGAATCTGAAAATCGTTTCCATCTGAAGCATCCATCTGAAAACTCAAGCTTAGATCTGCAACCTTTTGCTCATTTGGGACATCAGATGCTGATGTTGCTGAGATGACTGTCAGTTTTAGGCAGGCACGCACGCACACACGCGTGAACGCGCACCATGCGTTGGTTGACAGCAGTTGCACCGAACACTGCTGTTGGGGTCAGCACATGAATAATCAAAGTGATGATGAAGGGAGCTTTGTGGAGCGGCTGCCGGTCAATGCAGTAAAGGATATCTTCAAGACTGGTGCCGTTCATCAAAAGCTGACAATCTCTTGGTGTGTCTGACCTTTCACATCCACGATGGCAAACGTGGCGTCGATCTGCTTGCCCCAGACTTTCGAGCAGACAGGGAATATGTACTTCAGGCAGCGCTCGTACTCCTGTATGTGGTACTTCAACATCCGCTCCTCTGTCGTCACCTCCAGAATCCTGGTGAGGTTGATGTTTCCAAGGTGTTGCACGTACACGGGGTGGCCCTGCAGCAGGAGTATTTAGCATCCATCACTGAAACTAGACGAAAATCTAAGGACAAAGCAAATGCAGGTACAGATCGGCAACAGGAAGATGGACAAAAATGGGTATGCACGGGGTCAGTTTGTGCGGTCAGCAGGCATCTTGGGTACTTCACAATCTTGAACAATTTATGCAACCGTGCTAATGGTGTGGAAACCTCCAAAACGCCACCTTTCGACAGTAGATGATGGCCCCAAAATCAGTCAAAATGACATAATTATTTAATCTTCTTTCTTTGCACCATTGCTTTACCCAACTATCATCGAGTCCATTTTCAATTAGATTTATGCTCCTGAAACAAGATTTTCAGCCATCCAACACGACCTAAAGACAAAATGAAGTTGTGCAAAACATCAAATTTTGGGCCAGAACAATATCCCTGGGACATTTCGATATATATAATCAATCCCCCCTTGCTCAGTTTGGTCAACCAGAGCTACCTGTTTGTCTGTTTTGTGATAGCCCTGGGGGAAGATCGACAGGAACTCCTCCCTCTCAGCGAAGTGGAACTCATCCAGGATATGGTCCACACGGTTCTCCTGCCGCCACTGCAGCATGTCCATCATCATCCTTGTTGCCCTGTCTACATCGTACTCACGAGCCCGAAGGAAACGCAAAAGAAGAGCAAAATCTGCAGCCACAGACCAAGTACCTCTCAGCAAGCCCCCCTCATGAACACCATGTGGCTCCTTAAGACTTGTGCCGGAAGCTGGATTTTCATGTACGAATCTAGTGCATTTGGCATTTGCGGCGATCGTATTCTCTGGACAATCTGCCTGCAGACTTGTGCCCAGCGCCGCAATCCAGGTGCCCATTGCATGGTTTTCCTTCCTTCATTTTTCTCTTTTTCTTTGCGTTGCAACAATTCAAGACTTCATACAGAAACTGACAACACATTTGCCACGACTGCCCCAGGCCGTCCATCCATGGGACGGCGCTCCCCTTCCTCACCATGTTCCTCTGGATCGTAGGCATTCCTCATCATCAGAGAATCCCTCAACTGGTACACTAGGTCGTCCTGCAAAACCACACGTGACTCACTGTCAGTGCGCAGTCATCAGCCCCACATCGCCTCACAACTGCAAGGGCTGAAAGATTGGTGTGCACCTGCTCTCCAAAGGGGGCAATCATGGAACAAAATGCAAAAAATGAAAAGTTTCGTTTCCTTTGGCACAGGCAGTTAGAGGATTTGCTCCCAACCCGGCCAGCTCGGGGGGGTCGTTCTTCACACGCCTGCAGAAGCACGGTGCCAAAAGAAACAGGCTGAAAGTTCCCGTCAAGGATGAGATGAATCCTGAATGGCAGAATGTGCCCGCCTGTGGCTGCCGCGCTTCCCTGTCCCTTTGTGGGACGGTGGTGTGGGGCTGCTGCAATCGAAGGCCCGAACACGAACGAGATCAACAACTGACGATTCGGAGGAAACGTCCGTCAGAGGAAATTTTCGTCAAGGAACCGGTCGTCAGCAAATGTCCGTCGTCGCCCACAGCCTGCAAAGAGCTTGTTCCTTTTCCTTCTCACGAGAGCAAACATCATCCAGGGAAGTGCGTGGGCGAGGCAAATGCGACTCGGTCGCTGCCATGCCGGCGCCGCGCCGTGGCGCTGACCCGCGTGCGGCACCCCGCCCACATCCAACCATTCTCCCGCTCCGCTGTGGGATCACCGAATTGAGACACCTCCCCCATGCGCGCTCGTCGCGACCTGCGGGCCTCAGACCCACGGCCGCCGTCACCCGGCCAACTCCACTGGCCTTTGCTCAGTTTTCCCGCCACTGCTTAATTTCGCCTTCGAAAAACAAAGCGGGGCACTGGCGCCCTGCGGGCGACAACGGGAGCGTTTCCATCCAAGCAGCACCGTCCGCCCTGGTGCCGCAGCATCTCTCGAACCCCGCTCCCCCGCCCGCCGGGGGCGACCCAACGCCCTCCCACCGCCAGGGGCGACGTGAGCGATCCAACCCCAAGGACACCGGCCGCTGTGACCTCGCCAGCTGGAGCCGATCCCCACGAAAACGCGACCACCCCCTTCGGCCTTCCCCGCCCTGCGCCAATTCCCAACTCGGAACCAACTGCAAACGCACCCCCACACAGCACCCTCTCTCCCACCCCTCCCCTCCCTTTAAATCCCTTACTCAATTCCTTTCCTCCGCTGCACTCAATTTCCTCCCTTGCGCACCCCTGCCCCCGCCCCCGGGTCCTGATTCAACCAAATCTCCCGGGCCCCCCCCACCCCGCTGCCACCGGGGAATCCCCGTCATCCTTTCGCGGCACGCAAAAGAGTCTCGCACGCATCCTAGGCGGCAGCGGGCGCCCCTTGCATTACCTGTCCCTTTCCTCTCTCTGCAACAAATTACCCACCCACCGCCGTCACCACCCCCCGATTCCCGGTTTGCGCTGCGCCCTCATCATTTCGCATCGGAGGCGCCGTATCGCCTTTTCGCGGCACGGAAAAGATTCCCGCACGCGCTTGCCTAGGAGGGGGGGTGCCCTTCGTGTGACCCGTTTCTTTCCCTCTTTGCAACACATCTCCCCACCCCCCCACCCCCCACACCACCACCATATAGTCAACATCATCTTCCGCGGCACGAACAATGTCCCGCACGCATCCCGCTCGGCGTTGCGTGCCCTCTGCACGGCCCATTTCCCTTTCTCTCCCAAACAAATCCCACCCACCGCCGTCGCCAACCCGTGGCTCCCGATTCAACCAAGTCTCCCCGCCCCTCCCACCCCACCTGCTCATCCGGCATCTTGCCCCAGTCGTCGCGCACGCACGGCGCGGGGTACCTCCGGACCAGCCGCGCCGGGCCGCATGCCGCGATCGACCCCATCCCCCGACTGCGCGAAGAGTTGCGCCTGTGGGTGGCCGGGCCATCCCATGTCCCCGCGGAGGGCATGGGGGCCCCCCTATCCTCTGGCGGAACGCCGAGGGGGTGTTTATTCTTTGAGAGGGGTTGGTCCGAAGGACGGTTGGGGGCCGGTGGTGGGCAGCGGGGTCAGGGGGGGCCGGCCGCGTGGTGGGAGGTGGTGGCCCGCCGCGGGGGGCGAATCATGCCGAGCGGGGATTCGCGCCCCGGGGAAGAAACGGGGCGGGGGGTCCAGGGAGGGGGCGCATTTGGGGATCGCTGGGGTCCAGCGCCAATAATGAACGTGCCATCATCATCGAAAAAATCTTGCGCTGACGAGGGCGGGCACGGTCGAGGGGTGAACAGAGGTGTGCTCTGTGCGGAGCAAGGGTTGAATGGTGATGGGTAGTACTTGGGGAGAAGGGGCAGTAGTGAAGTGAGGTGGTAGGAGGCAGATCGGGAGGTTAGGAGTGGAGCGGGTAGCAGCGCGGGAGTACGGGGAAGTGAGGGAGTTAGTGGGTAGGGACCTCAGGAACGCCGGCGGGCGGACGGGTCCAGGTAGGCTGGCTTAGAGGAATAGGTGTGGGCGAATGGGGACAGAAAGAAGTGAGGGGGCCGGTTAGTCAGTTCGGGGTAAGTTCTCTGGGGAAGATTCTAATGGGTGCCACCAGCATGGTATGGACACGGTGTCGACTGGGAAGCGCAATCCGAACACTTTGGTGATCTATCTGTATGCGATCGTGAGCTGTCCAGATTAGATCGGGTTTATAAATGGCAGAACGTGCTTTGTAATGACGCTGGGTTTGTGGACCACGATGGTCATAGGCCTCGAGGGCCTGTCTCACGTGCTCGATCCTCTGCCGGGCATCTGCGAAGGAGCCGGCTGCTGTTCTGCCTCATCGACGGGCACCGGCTTAACAGTGGTTCCGACGCCGGGACCTTCGCAAAGGCATCGGGGAGGAGCGCGGAGTGTCCAACGGCAGCAGGAGGCTGTCCGAGGAGCGATTGGTGGTGGGGGAGCTACCGATCAGGGAGTGTGGTGATCGCTGAGAAAGAATGCGACTGCGGCCGCGCTTCTTTGCAGGGGATGGATCACAAGAGGACGTGGAGGGCTGGTTGTTGCACTTTGAAGGCATTTGTGTTGCAGGAGGGGTCGCGAGCGATGCGCAGTGGATTGCCTTGTTGACTGTGAGCACCTCGGGCAAAGCGATGCGCTGGGTGCGTGCGCGATCCAGGTGGTTGTTCAATGAAAATCGCACATGGCAGGAAGTGAAGGAAGCATTTCAAGTTCGATTTCTGGAAGAAGACATAGAGGATCGGGTTAATGCTTCATTGAGAACGCTCGCGCAGAGGGAGGGCGAGTCGGTTAAGGAATATCTAAGCCGATTTCGCGAACTGTTGGCTAAATCGGACGAAGCCACTGAGGCAACATGGTCTCGATCGTGGGTCGATGGTTTGCGGGATCCTTTGCGGGAAGCGGTAAAATTCCTGGGGTACGTCAATCACGAAAGCGCCGCTGAAATTGCTATGCGGAAAGAATGCGCCTTGGAAACATGGAGGCAGATGATACTTCTCGGTTGGTGGATGAGCGATAGGATGTGAGTGTGGAACTTCTCGATGCATTGGGGGAATGGGCATTGCGGGCGCGTGCGCGGGGAGGCACACAACCAAATGGGGGTAACCCGGGGGAAGGGAGTGGGGGTCGACCGTGATTCAGGCAGCGAGACCCTCGACCGACTGGGGAACCCTCTTCTGGGCCGCCGAGACTGCCCGGATTGACGGGACCGCGGGAAGTGCGTGAGCGTGGGGCCATGCAGGGAGCGGTCGAGTGTTGGCGATGCGGGAAATTGGGCCATGTGCAATAGCAGTGTACTGAGCCTGTTCCTGAACAAGGAGGGAGACCCCGACCGAATCCGGCGGAGAATGCACCAGGGCGCGCAACTCTGGAGCAGCCCCGTCTGACCGGGGGAAATCGCGCGGGACCGGTACGCGATGCACCGCGCCGAGCGAATGAGCAGAACGGTGTTCGGGTGGGATGATTAGCCCAAGCGATATTGACTGGTGCGTGTGTGGGAGGCGTCGATGCTGAGGTGGACGATTGGACCATGGAGGGGACCGGAGACCCGGATGATGATGACTGGAGTGAGGATAAGCGATCCGCCACACGCATGGCAGGCGATCGCAAGCGCCGGAAGGGGGAAGGGCCTCGGAAGCTGCGTTCCCGTCCCGTCCTATTACCCGAATGGAAGGATTACGTGGCAAAGACCTGCGTCATACCCATCGGCATGATGAAGGGCCTATCCAAGGGGGAGGTGTATACACAGCTGGTCCTGGCGGTGAGGGAATTACTGGGTGCGACGAGGAAACCACGTGCGGCCGGCAGTCCGGTGGGTCGGGGCAACGACACACCACCTGCTGCACGCATCATTGGAACGGGAATCCACGTGCAGTGCACGGTGAATGGATTGCACGTGTGAAGGGTGATTCTGGATCCCGGATCGTCTCATTCGCTCATTGACAAGTCCTGTGCAGATTGATTGCGACTCCGTATCGCTGGGAAACTTCTGGGAATAGAGTTGGCGAATGGCCAAACGGCGCCCGTATATCGCCTGGCTGAGGATGCAACAGTGGAGATTCAGGGCGTGTCGGCGTCAGTCCCGGTGCGGTGTGTCGATGCAAATGGCTCATACGATGTACTATTGGGCCAGGATTGGTTAGCATTGACCAATAAGGGAGCCCAATTCAACTCCCAAATTTGCACGCTCGCTGGGGGGGGAGTGCAAGTCCGACAGCAGGGCAGGCAGTTGGAAGTTATCACAATGGATATGAGCAGCAACAGTGATACCAAAGATAGTGGTGAATATGATCAGGATTCGGGTCCAGACGACGCAATGGGGGAGCTGGACGGGCTCTTAGCGCAATTGGGGATGAGTCACCCCACAAATGTGGAGGACGATAGGGTGATGCCTGCACGTTTGGCCAGTTTGCCATGTATTAAAGATGACGTTGAGAACGCCTAGTTGGAGGAGGTACATTTCGGACCCTCTCTTAGTACTTCGGTCGTGACGGAAATCAAAATTGTGCTGGTCGAGTTTAAGGATTGTTTCGCACTGTCATACGCTGACTTGGAAAGAACGCCATACATGAAGTTTGCCATAAATTTGCAGGAGGGAAGCCGCCCGGTGTGATGTGGGCGACAGCGGCGATTCGCTCTGAAGGAGCTAGCATTCCTTCGGGAATAGCTTGATGCCTTGTTGGACGCGGGATTCATCGAGAAATGGAATGGGGAAGTGGAATGGCTTTCTGGAGTTACTCTGCCTCCGAAAAAGAATGGCGATCTGCAGTTGTGTTGTACGTTTGTGGCTCTGAATAGGGCCACATTACCCAACGCATTTCCCCTGCAACGCGTGGATGAAATTCTGGAGGAGTTAGCCGGGTCGCCGTTATACTCGAGCATAGACGGGTTTAGCGGCTACTACACCATGGAGATGGAGGAAAGTTCGCGCCCACTGATTGCGTTTCTGACCCCACTGGGAGTGTTTGTGTGGAATGTACTACCCTTCGGCGTCCGCAATGGCCCACCCAGGTATTTGCGGGTGGTTGATGCTGCATACGGACCCCTAGAATGAGTAAGGTCCTTCGTGGACGATGCAGGAATAGCCCACAGTGGGGAAGGGGGCATTGCGGGTGACCTTTGGCGGTTCCTGGAAAGAACACGGGAATTTAAGCTGAAATTGAAACCGAGTAAAACTTTCGTGGGGTTCGAACAGCTGGAATTCCTGGGGCATGTGCTGTCAAAAGATGGACTGGGAATGGTGGACAGTAAGGTGAGGGTTGTGCGCGATTTTGTGATTCCCAAGATGCGACAGCAAGTCCAATCTTTCTTGGGACTCGCCTGATATTATCGCCGGTTTGTCAAAGGGTTCAGTGCGATTGCGAGGCCACTTAGCTAGTTGGTTGCGGCCATGGGCTCCCGCAGTAAGGTGGAGAGTGCCGATTGGGGAAAGGAGCAGTAGGCCACCTTCGATCAATTGCGTGACGGGTTGTGCAAGGCACCTGTACTCGCAAAACCTGACTTCACTCAGCCGTTCATTTTGGACTGTGACGCCAGTGCGGTGGCAGTGGGATGTGTACTATCACAGACAAAGGACGGCATTGAGTGACCCGTGGCGTATCATTCGCGGGTCCTGACGGGAGCGGAGCAAAACTATTCAACCACGGAGCGTGAATGCTTGGCGCTGGTGGTAGGTGTGGTGAAGTACTGGGCCTATGTCTTGGGGGTTCGGTGCCTTGTGAGAACCGATCACCGTCCTTTGATCGGATTGATCCACAAGGAGGAGCACACAGGAAGGATCACGAAATGGCAGACTATCTTGGGGGAATTCGACCTGGATTTTGTCGCAAGGGCGGGGCGGCACCATGCGAATGCGGACGGATTGTCTCGCATACTTCCTCGGTCAATCAAAGTCCCTTCGGAGATGGGGGATGAACTGTGTTTCGCGGTTAGGGACTTGGAGATTCCCGCAGAACTTTGTCGCTTCTGCGAAAGTCCTTGGTACCGCGAAATCGTTGAGTGGACCCTCGCGAACCTGCAGCCGCTAGAATACCATACCATCAGGGGACGGTTGATGAAGCAGCTGCCGGTACAAGGGCAGGTTCTATGTCTACTGGAAACAGAGGTTCCAAATACCTTGTTGCAAGGGCATGACTCGGTATTGGGGGGTCACTATGGTAGCGATATCACATTGCGGAGGTTGGCCCAGTAGTTTTGGTGGCCAAGTATGTGCATCGATGTGGAGAAGTGGGTCGCAGAGTGTGAGATTTGTCAACGACACGCGCCCAGGAAGCCGGCGCAGGCAGTAGGTCGAGTCATTGCTACACAACCGTGGGAGTGGGTGCATATTGACTGGATCCTCGGGCTTCCGTAGATGAGTAAAGGGAACGCGTGTGTAATTGTGGCGATTGACGGGTTCACCGGATTCATTTCCGCAAGAGCGTACTGCGACAGCTGCAAATTCCACGCATTTCTTTGCTATTAAGGTTGTCTTCCA